AATTTAGAGCAATATTTCTCTTTCCCTCTCCTACTTCTAACAGGCTAGAATGAGCTAATGCTGCAGACAATGGCAGCACTAAGTGAAGGTGTACAAATACTTTTAAAGGTAGCCAGCTGAATCACATATTACTTGTATACTCCGAACCTTATTGTAGAAACATTTCTGCTGCTCTTCCCTGCAGTTAAACAGGAAATGTTAGTATGATAATTTCTTCAGATTTTTGAACAAATTTTCCTATGCATGAAGGTGTTTGTGTCCTTGCTTTTCTTTTACAAGAGAAGCAACTTCTATTATTAAATGGTAGCTAAAAATTCAAGCAAAAGTGGCAGTCAAGAATTCAGCAAGAGTCAAGAATTGCAGGAATTGCAAAGCAAGTCTTTTCTGCAGTTTCACAACAACTTTGCAAGATTCAGAATCCAGTCAAAGAGATTGAATGGTAGAACAGCTGAGAAAGATCAAACAAGGAATTTCAAGCTTTTATATTAAACAAAGTTGACAGGCAAGTTTTTTGAAGATACGAGTGCTATAAAAGGGGTTTTCTTATTATATTCCAAAGACTATTTTTTAAATGGGACAAGCAGTACTTTAAATGATACTCTGTACATTCAATACTCTGAATTTGAAACACACCAAAAAATCTAGTGAGTATTCATCCCATATTTCTAGTGTTTCAAAACAAAATGATAAGTATGGAAACAAAAGTTATTCTATAAAAATTGCCTACCATATCATGTACATGCAGTGCGAGTAAATGTGAAATTATAGTATATAATCAGACTCCTGTATCCAATGTAGAATGTTATTTATCCCTAATAGAAGGGGAAACCTAAAAATTCCAATAATTTCTATACAAGTTTGCAAAAAAAAATTCTAGAATTTTTATCAAATTGACTAATGATTAAAAAAAGAGAGAGCGCAACAAGTCTTATTAATAGCTATTTCATTTTATGGCATGTGTTGCCCTTTATTGCTATCAAGCGTTATTAGCTATCCAGCAATAATTTCTGTGAACTAATAAAAATCTCCATGAACAGTGCATGCAAAGATATCCCTCTCCACTAGCACAGATGCACGTAAGAAGTTTTTTTGAGAATCATGTTTACAAAAAGAAGAGACAAAGCACAGCTTTCAGATGTGACATTTAGCTAATCAACCTTGAATTTTTATGCAGAAGATGCAAAGCAGGATTCTAGAACAATTGCAAACATTACCTGAATCATAGATTATTCTTTTTTTCTTGTTTGTTTGCTTTCGTTTGGAATCATCTTCACCGGGTGAATTCTTCACCTAACAGTAACAGTCCATTAGTTCAACCAATAAACAGGTCCTTCCAGATTTTACTCAGCTACCCATTCAAGCTTATGAGTTTCAAACAAATTCTAACAAAAATAGTTTCCCAAAATTACATTTAAGAACAACCTTTTGGCTAACTCATCAGGGCGAGGGAGGAAAAAAAGGAAGAAACCACAGCAGTAAAGCTAAACATGCTTCAAATAAACAGTAGATGATGCTACTGAGAATAAACATTGATGATTTTAACTGTCATTAAAACTTGAATCAGACTTTCAAGTGCTTCAAAATTTCAAACTGCGAAAGAAATGGCATGGTCCCAGCAAAAGTAACAGTGGTACAGGCCAATAAATTAGTTGTAAGGAGCTTGGCTAGTACACTTATGGTTCCGTTCTGTGGCTTAGCTGTACCTGCCAGAATTCAACATGACTTGAGAGTAACAACTGACTGAAGGAAAAAAAGCATATACAGCAGTTGAAGCTGGATTTACTTCACTGTGCTGTTTGTCTGCAGTTCTTCCTCTCACTAAGCAGTGCAACTGCCATAACAGATTGTACCAATGGTCACAATCATCAGATACGTTGCATTTGACAGCAGCTAGATTAGGCAGCGTTAAGAAAGCTTCTAAAAACCTGACAAGTTTTAGACATTTAGAAAAATCATAAACTGCACAAGTAGGAAGTTTCTTGGGCTATCAAACTATTGACTGTGGTTGCTCTGTAATCATGCATGACTATAAAATGCTTCTGAAAATATAATTTGAGATGAACATAACTATGTGTTTTATAATCCAATTCTAATCTGAAACGGAACAACCAATTCTAATCTGAAACGGAACAACCAATTCTAATCTGAAACCTGTTAAATCCTTGGTATAACTGGAGGAGTACAGAGTGAAAAAAGAATAGGGCACATAAAACCATAAGAACATTGTTTTAAGTTCACTGTCCTTTACTTTTACATTATGACAGTGAAATTATACACCTAATAGATAGAATGTTTCCCTCAGATGATTAAAAACTATGAAATTAAAAACTGGTCAGAGGGCTTCTAGAGCACACTGTTTTACCTCACCAAATGGGTGATATTTTTATATGTCTACACTAACTGTGCATAAGCATCCCCCTTTCTAAATAAGGAAAAAAATATATATATAAGCAGAGTTAGATTAACTTCAAACATACCAGATTCTTTCTACGTTAGCATCTGATCATTTAACTTTTACCTATCTTCCCTTTGCCCTACAACCCAAATTTTTCAAAAACTAGTAACTTTCTAGCAGCAAATTGTGTAGGTGATCAAGAAGTTACTATTAAGTGGTAATCTCCTCCTATATCTCTAAAAATAAGAGAACTACAAAAAAAGAAAAAAAGAAAAACTAACCTTAGTCTCCTTTCCCCTTTTCTTCCCACTTGAGGTCCCTTCCCCATTTTTTAAGTTTTCATTCTTTTTCAGAGTCTCAAATTCTTG